CCTGTCTATTTGCTTAACAGTTCTTCTATGAGCAAAAGGGGGTGTTTATAAATCAAGCGTCATTTGTTTCAATACAAATCATACCTAAACACGTGTTGAATTGAATTGAAATGAAAATAAATTTTATTTCTTAGGTTTGTCGCCATCTAGTAGTTAATTTTGTAAACCTCATATTACATCTTTATAAATTTATTAATTTTCAAGTCTTTTTGTTAAAATTTATTTAGAAAGTTATTAGTTTTGTGGCGCAAGAAGCTTTCCATGATAAACTATATTACTGTAATTCTTTTAGTATTTTTTGTTGTTGTTGTTGTTGTGTGGACAGTTGGCAACAAATTTGCGTATGCAACTCAACGAACTAGTAAAACAAAATTTATGGCAGAAAGCAGTTGCGGCAAGTCGCACGGTCCACTTTACTGCACCCAGTGGACCCGAGATCTCTCAACCATAGTCATTTATGTAAGTTTTTCACTTGTACATTCCCAAGTATTTTGTGTATTTCAATGCGAATTGCATCAATCTGTATTTACATTACAAACAATTTACAACATTCAATCAATGACAAATGGAATGATTTGTGTTAATAGGGTTGCATGTATTGAAACTGTCGCCATCTATTAATGTAGTTAATACTAAAGTAAAAATTACTGTACTAATGTAAATTTAAAAACAAAACGTTTAAAGTAAGTTAAACTCCATCTATTTTCATAATTCCCGCACTGAAATTGTCATCGACGTTGCGCAAATTTTGTAGCAATGAAAATAACTGAATAATTCGTCGCACAAACAATGCAGTCCGCAATTGTACGGAATGTTTGCTTTTCGCGACTTCGACAATAATTATTTAGCGGTTAATCAAAAGCATTATGCGAGAATGTTAATTAATTGCCGGCCAACATCAAAAGCGAAACAATGCCCGAATACGCATTCGCATTCACTAATTAATCAAACCAAAAATAACGTTCGCGAAAAGCAAAAAATCGTCCTTGTTTATATACGCGCAAAGCAATTAGAACTGTCGCAATCGAAGCATTCAAATCGTTTGTTTGCTTCATTTTCTTCTTCAACTGTTGGTAA